TATCTTCAAGAGACATACCCGAATCGAAAGTCTAAGCGTGCGACTCGCTGTCTAGATGGGTACTGCTCGCTTATACGACCGAAAATTATTGGCAGCTTGATTCATTAGGGCATTGCCATAGTGAAGGTTGGGGTGATCCCTCCAACCCGAGTTATATGTATTGGATAAAAGGTTATAATTTCACCGTGGCGATCCTAGAAACCCACTCGCTCGTATTTGCTTATTCGGTGTTGTCATCTTGAAGGGTCGAACACATGTCTTTTGTATGTCCCACCACTCGAAAAAATTTCACAAGCCTTTGTCTGTTTCTATTTTTCATGCTTATCAATTAACGCACAAGAGCAACAAAGTCATCAAAATGCTTTTCAAAAGAAGGAGTACTTACCTTATTTACTTACCAAGTGGCATAATCACATTTGGTTCCAAATGGATATGTGTTTGATGCATATTTGCTATCAAAGTTGTGGCCTCTTTGGGTGTTTTGTCCGCCAAAGCACCATCACTTGCTACATCAATCATGTTTCGATCCGATGGCAAAAGTCCTTCATAAAAATATTGGATGAGCAACTGATTTATGATTTGGTGGTGTAAGTAACTTGCACGAGCTTTTTAAAATGCTCCTAATATTCATATAGTGATTCTCCATTATGCTACCTAATACCATAGATTTCTTTTCTTATGCTTGGTCGCTCAAGAGGCTAAAAAGAATTTCTCTAAGAACAACCTCTCCATCTCCCGTCAAGTGGTTATGCTCCCAGCGAGTTAAGTAATAATGCCAATCTTAGGTATCATCCTTTAAAGAAAAAGGGAATGCCCTCGGTTTGATTTGTTCCTCAATGACTCCATTCGGTTTCATACCCGAGCACACCACATGGAACTCTTTTAAGTATTTATGAGGATCTTCACCCGCTAATCCTCGAAAGCTAGGTAAAAGATGCATCGGCCCAAATTTCAACTCAAAAGTTATGTTGGCAGTAAAGTTAAGAAAGTTAATGTAGTGAGGTTGCTGATCCAAATCGAGGGCAACAAGCTCTCTTAGTATTCCGTTTGCAGCTGCGTCTTCTATGGTTTCGAAGTTGTTTGTTGTATGGTTTCGTCGCTTCTGTTTGCCTAGCAATGACGTGGGCACGCTCGCTATTGTTTTGTGGCTTTCCCGAGGCTTTTTGCTGTGTGTTCTCTTTCTAGGTCAAATTGTAGGTCTTCGGCGCTTCTAGATCATGTAACGTACATAAACAATTATGAACTCTTCGACAACTACACTAAAATTTGATCGGATATTATCGTGTGCATCCAAATTAAACTCCTAAACTCCTATAATGCAAATGTAGTAAGGGAGAGTAGGGATCAATCCCACAAGGAGTTTTTGTTGCGTTAGTCGTCACAAATCCATAAGAAACATAAAATAAATAAAAAAGATGGATTTTGATTTGATCGAGATATAACTGAAACTAAACAAATTAAATTCAAAAAATGAGTTTAAAATAGATATTCAAGTAAACAAACATTAGTTCGAGCCACATCCACTTTTGGAATGTAAGATTTATCCTTGGTGTAAGAAATATCATATTCTCATTCAAATATTTATTGTGATATTGAAATCAATCTTTTCTTATGATTAGCTAACTAGAAACATGTATTCTAATTAACCCTCATTAGTCAACAACCTTGTATACAATATAAGATTTAATCAAACAATGGCTTTACTTATTAAAAAGATCAACAAAGCAAAACAACACAACACATATAGTTGCATTTAATCTAGTTAAACAATCTTTCTAAGAGTCATTAGTTTCTAAAGTAGCAAACCATATACTCCTAGTTGCTACATGAATCAAAGGGATTGAACAATTATGGATTCAATATTCGATCTAGCTATAGATTATCTTAGTTAATAAACTAACCGTGTATTTTAGAAATCAACCTAAATAATCATGAAAATAAGCATAGAAGAAAGTTCAATACTTGAATAAACAAGCCGATTTGCATTAATGTTTAAACACCTCAAAATCTTTGATTTCTAAAAGCTTCGATTACCTTTATCAAGGAAAGGGGTTTAGTCTGCTCATGACGGTGTTCATGGCGAGTTGTCATAGCAAGAGAGAGAAAATAAAGCCGACATATACTATGAAGAATAAAAAATGAAATAAAAGTCATCTCGCCCTAATCTATTATGTTCCTATTTATAGGGGCTTTCTATTTTCCAAAAAGGGTATAAAATATTCACTCCTCTTTCGGAAGGATCGAGTCTATTCCTAGTAAATCGCAATAGGATTTGTTTCCTAATGGAGGTCACGTTGTACTGTTTTTATGATTTTCGGTATGCCAACGTTAAGTTACAACATGCCCACGCCTTCATACTCTTGTATGTCCATGTTTGCTCGTATCTGCGTGCCCACGCTATTACTCTTACATGCTCACGCTTCTCGTGCATTCTAGTGTCCGAATCTGTCTTGATGATAAATTTTTTTATATGGTCCTTTTAACATTATTTATCAATCGGTTTTACATTCTAGCACATATAATATAAAAGCGAGTTAAGGTCTATCATTTGGACATCTCAAAACAATAAAATGCAACGGAATTAAGCAATTTAAACATATGTATTTTGATCACTATCAAGGGGGAAAAGATAATTAAATAAATTATCTTAATTAAGAGGAAATATGATCTCTCGTAGAAGCTAATTAATCAATAATGCTTTATGTTACTATCTTTTGTAAAAATGAAAATTATTCCCAAACATCCTTCTCATAAGATTATTATGTATCCGATCCTCGGTTTGATGCTATCCCACTACCTAGTTCCTGTTGGGGATAAATTTCGGACACCACACAAAGATAACAAGAAGAAAATTACTTGGAAAGGGAGGAGACATAAGAACACTTAATTAAAGACACTTTGTTTATTAGAAACTTAACTCACTCCACTCTACATAATATCAAATCACTTATAACTATATATAGAGATAAAACATCCCTTAATTATTACACACAGAATACTAAATAACACACGGAATACTAAACATTATATTAATGACACATTACACATAATTAAGTTCATGAATGTAATAACTACAATCATACTTATTTATTCATACTTAGCCATAATTAAGCTTACTTTCTAACATCCTCCCGTAAACTTAATTATCTACTAATCATGACTTTTCAAAAATTACTTGGTCCACATCTAAGAGGAAAATCTCGAATAGCAAAAACTCTTCTTGAAACTCTAAAATTTACTCCATTAGTGCTCGATTCTTCGATTCCATTTCTTCTAGTTTCTTCTTCGGTTCTTGCATTTCTTGGACAACATTATCATAATCTTGCCTCAAATCCTCATATACATCCCGCATCCGGCTCAAATCAAACTTTGTTTCATATAATTCTCTTTCATTAACATCCTTTATGGTAATGTCATAGACACACTTCAAATGTCTTATCACACACAAAGCTGCTTCATTTTCGACATCTTTCTTGGTATATGCCTTGAATCCATATTGGGTATGTTTTCCCAATCTATCTTCAAACTCAACTTTAGCAATAAATTCTAGAGAATGATCTTGCCCAAACTTTTCACACGAATAACTTGCCGGAGGCAAATTCAATTTTTCAAGTAATTCCTTCAAAAACATTTTGAATGGTGTCTGAAACAACAATATGCACGAGTACACTTCATTTCTTCTTGCAAGGTTCTCTTCTGACCTCACTCTTGCTTTTAAAAGAACTCTTCACCAGTTCTTTACTTTTCTTATGGAGTCTAACTCTTAACTCACACCAACTCAATAGGTTCTCTTTTCAACAAACCCGGAGAAAAACTTCTTCAATTGTATACTTCTACCACTTGTGCTCGATTCAACCTTTTCTTAGTCTTACTAATAATCGACCAATGCTCCGCTACCACTTTGTTGGAGATAGGAACTCGAACCAATGCTCGATACCAATTTGTTGGGGATAAAGTTCGGACACCACACAAAGATAACAAAAAGAAAATTACTTGAAGAGGGAGGAGACATAAGAACACTTGATAAAAGACACTTTGTTTATTAGAAACTTAACTCACTCCACTCTATATAACATCAAATCACTTATAACTATATATAGAGATACTAGACATTCCTTAATTATTACACACAAAATACTAAATAACACACGAATACTAAATATTATATTAATGACACATCACACATAACTAGGTTCATGAATATAATAACTACATTCATACTTAGCTATAATTAAGTTTATTTGTCAGCAGTTCCATCTATCTATCTCTTGTTCTGCTGGTTATTGTGCCGCCTTAGTTACACTTACATATGCAAGGAAAGCAGCACAGCCTTCTAAGATATCCGTTCAGTAGTTCACCTGGGGAAGACAGCTGAATTTTTTGTGTGGAGTTGATGATGAGATATCCAACGTAACTATAGAGGTAGAGATAACCGCATTGTAGTATGTTCTGCCCTGTCCAGGAATCAAAATATGCCCAAGGATCACAACACTCAAGGTTTGTAGTAGTATGGTTGTGTCTGAAACGAATCTTTTGCTCTGGCTTTCTGAAAGCTCTAGTAGATCCTGAACAAAGATAGCTAGATAGCTAGCTAGCTAGCTTCTGCTCCTTGCTTTCGCCAACGGTTTTCTTTAGCCTGCGCCGTCACGTTTCTTGAAGAATTTTTATGTCAAGTTGGTCTCCAAGGTGGAAAAGATGATGCGACTGCTGGTGAAAGCAGCAGCTGTTCCTTAACTATAACAATAAATCTGCTATGACTTGCGTCAAAGAGAATAAATAATTTGTACAATGACAGACCTTGATCTGGTTTGAGGTCCCCTATCTTGTTTCTTATTGCTGTTTTTTCTCTTCGAAATTCAAGGAAGTCCCACTATTTTTCAATGTTGTTATACACGTTGTAAATGTTCTAATACGCTGATCATTAAAGACATCGATCCTTAACATAATTATAGTATTAAGGATCATATATTCATTTTAATATTACTTAATTTGGAATTTACTTTGTGAAAAATTTAGAAGAATGGGTCCTTTTCGTGTATATGAATATGATGTCTCTATTGCCTAGAACTTTCCAGGATTCCGAGGATGACGTTCCGATCACCTTGTGAGACCCAACCAAAGCTAACCGCCCAACTAATGCTTGGCGGGCAAGTTTTAGCATTGTCTTGCTAATTGTCCCATTAGGCCTACTTCAGCGAATTTTTCCTATTCAATTAGCTGGCAATGAGATTTAATTCGATGATCGGGTCAAAAGGTTCCGGCCGAATTAATTCCAAATTAAGGGTCCAAAACATGGATTATAAACACGGACCTATTCGTCAAAATAGGTCCTTTGCAGTTCAATAATGAAGTGATCATCATTAACTTGATCTGAATTATAATTAGAATTTTTATCCGGATCGTAAACTACCTTCTCTGGTTTAACCGTTCAAATTCTTGGAACTTGGAAGGGGCCTTGTGTACAAACAGGAACCACATCATCCTTCATTCCACATCTGATTTTGAGTGACTGGACTGATTTGCCAAGATGAGCTGGAAAGCTTTTTAAAAGATTAGAAGAAAATTCTTATGTAAATACTTTATCGAGCCCAGGACACAGCTTCCCCACCTGTCTTTTCCCATGTCTTCTATGTGATACGATGTCATTTATTTTATCCGTACAAACAGCTTTGAGATCCTTGGCTTCAGTGTCACAAAAATAGTGCTGGTTAAATTTGTTGATTTTAGGAGAATAAAGACGTATTCATCCCCCAACTATCAACCAATGTTTTAATTGAGTCTCCATACAAAAACTTTTCCTACTTAGATCCCTCATCCATCAAACGATAACCAATAAACCTTGCAGCCTAGATACGTTATTAATTCGCAAGGAAAATTTTAAACTATTTAAATAATTTAAAATACTCATTGCGGTAATGACTATTTATTTTTATATAATTTATTGAGTCTTTTATTAATCCCTAAAAGTGTGTGGATTTAAACTTTGGATAAAAGTATAATCTATAATTTATCATTCTATTAAGTTTTTATAGCCAAACTAACAAATTTCATATATATATATATATATATATATATATATATATATATATATATATATATATATATATATAATTAATTAACCATATACTTATTTCGTCAATGGTCTAGTGGAAGACCATTGACGAAATAAGTTTATGGTTAATTAATATGCAATTTACATATCAAATTCTACTAGCTTGGATGAACAAAATTAGTGAAAAAAATTAATGAGAGACTAGACCTTTATTTAACATTTAAATTGATGCAATTAGAGATGTAAATCAAATAAAGGCTCTCAATATTATATAAAGTCAAACGATGCCAATATCTCATATGCACTTTTTTTCTCTAATAATTATAAAAATATTTTCATTTATCAAAGTGTAATGGCTAATATGGTAAATCAATCTTAGCATTTAATTTAATTAGTACAAAAATTAATTTAATTTTTTATTGCAAAATTATAAAATTTTATTTTTCATTTAATTTCTTCATTTTATTGTAGTATAGTGTTAATCGTTCAAGAAAGTAAACTTGAAACAATAAATAATTTTATAACATTTTTGCATCCATATATTGTTTTTTATATTTAATTTGACTTAGATATTATAGTTAAAGACATTATAGATTAGTTAAAAAGAAAAAATTAGTTTTTAATATAAATCAAATCAGAATATACATATTTTGGATTTTTGAAATTTTTACCATATATAAAATCTACATGTGATGGTTTGATGGGAAAGGACACATGGGTTAATTAACATACATCTGGACTAAATTTTTTGATAAAAATGAAACCATTTCATGATTTCAATTTTTTCATTTCAGATTAATAATGAATTTAAGCCAAAGGAACTCATTGGGTAACATGTGAAAGATGGGGATCTAATTGAATGAAGTTTTGGCTTTCAGACATAAGCAAGAATTGTTAGATGGTTGGAGGACAAATATATTCTTTGACCATTTTTTTTTAAATGGAATAAATTGAATTATTTAATTTTTTTTGTTATGGAGTAAGCATCCTTAGAAATTATTAGAATAATATAAAAAAATTTCCTAATTTGGTATGATGAATACAAAGTATCTAGGATTCCTCAACTTCCTTATCTAATGCTAATATTAGAACCATTCAAAATTTTGACCACATAAAGTCGTCTAAAGTTCCAACTTTGGCCTTCACCATGACAAGGTGAGTCATTACCATACGCATTGTTCTCTTGGAAAACTTGCCTAGCAACTTCATATTGCTTTATACATTATACAATAATCTCTTGTCACACAACTCTATAAATTCTTTGGACCCCAACTCCTCTATTCTCTATATAAAGGCTAAAGTATCCCACTTTTTTCATATTAAAAAAAAAAAAAACTTCGCAACGCACACATCTCTACATCCCTTTGTCAGTGATAAAATCTCCTATTCAATAATTAACATGGACAGGCGTAAGTGGTCATTGCTTAGCCGCTTAAGGAGGGCAATCAAGAAGATTAAGTTCATACTAAATCTCGATATGAATCGTTGGCGTCTGGCTTCTGTGATTGGTGCTGCTTCTTCAAGAAGACGCCAACTTAGCTTTAATGATAGACCAGGGTTAAGGGGTTGTGCAGATATTGAGGATACAGAATCAGAAGACTCGGGTTCTTCAAAGGGGCTACGTAGAACCATCAGCTATCCATCAGAAGATGATATTGATAAGAGAGCTGAAATGTTCATCGAAAATTTCCGTCGCCAACTTCAGATTGAGAGGCAGATTTCTTTGGAGCTCAAATACTTTCAAGGGTTAAATAGCTTTAAATCTATTTCTCCATGATTCTTTGAGATAATCCTGAATTTGGTGATGGAACCTGTGTTTTATGAGAGGTTTTCTATTGGCAATTAAATTGATGGTAATGAAATCATTTTTTCTTCAAAGGCTTGGATTTGGCTGCTAAGACATGATGACAAAGCATCTCGCAACTTGCTGAGGTTCTAAAGGTGGTCATAAGATTATTTTAGCTTTCCTTCATTTTATGACCTCTTAGCAAGCAAACCAAGCATAAAATTTATTGTAAATCTTGATCCGTGGCTTTTAGACCGGTTTTTGTGGGATTGTTACATCGTAGAACCCTTAAGGGATGTTCGATTTTCACCTGTATTCTTTTATTTAAATTGGTGTGAATTGTGTATATAGGAAGAATAGAAAACAGAAGGCTTACATTTGGATTGTTTTTTGGAACAGCCTTACGTTTTGGATTGTTGTGTGTATCTCTGTTGTAGGGGATTATTAGACGTTTGCTAATTAGTGAATCTTATGATACAAATATACTGAATTTTGTTTGATTGATTTAGCTACCTCAAGTATGAATGTTACGGAAGCCTGTTTGGTTGAATTATGGATATTTCAATTTTACTATTCATTAATGGTTTAATCCCATCAAACATCCTTCTACTCTTTCGATTTTTTTAATATGACTATTGTATTTTTTTATTCAACTTTTTTTCTGTATTCTTTGATTTTTCTTAATGTTCCTCCAATTGTTTTTCGGCTAATTTTCTAATAAAAAGTAACATATGACAAAGTCATGTCACAATAGTTTAACTCGTGAAATAATAATAATAATAATAAGCTAAAAAAATTTTTAATATTAAAAAATAAATGGAATATTACATTATAAGTATATCAATTTTTATTTTGTTCTTAATCGAGTACATAAACTTTAATTTTTTTCATTTTAGTACATCAATTTTTACAAAATTACTAATTAAGTATGTTTGTCAATTTTTTCGTCAATTGATAACGTGTACGGTACCCTCAAAATACTAAATATAATTTTATCATTTTTCTCAATCGAGTACATGAACTTAAATTTTTTTTTATTTTAGTACATTAAATTTTTTCAAACTCGTAAATCAAGTATTTATATCACCTTTTTTTATTAATTGATGATGTATTCGAATACCAAATTATAAATTTATCCTCTTTTTGTTTGAAAAAAAAACTTTCTCCTTAAATTATTTTATAGTCTGAAAAATAATTCAAAAATTATTTTTTATCTTTAAAATTTGAAATTAAACTCAATTAGGTTGCTATTAAAAAAAAAAATCAGTTAGGTTTAAAAGTAAAAATTGAAGAAAAACACAAATGAATCCTATCGATGAAAAATCTCACGTTTGTGTTTCCTTTAATTTCCACATTCAAAACCTAATTGATTTTGTTTTTTAACAATAAGTCTTACTAAGGTGGTGTTTGATAAAGCTGAAAATGAAGTGTTGAATTTGTTAAGTACTCGAATTTTAAGTGCTGAATAATTAAGTATTGAATATGTTGCTTGGCAAACTGTTTGGTATTTATTGAAAATTAAGTGCTGAATATAATAAGGTTGTTTAATATGTACTATTGCTAAACATATTAAGATTATATACATTACAATTTTAATCTTATAATTGTAACATGATATTTTTTAACACAAACAAAAATATATACATAGATGTGTTTGTGTATATAAATAAATTAATTAATTAATAAAAAAATTATTGATAAAAAAAATTAAATACAATCTAAAATAGCATTAACAAAAAAAAATAATAATAATGCCACATATAAAGTCTTCCTATATATGAGCAATGCTATTTTATAAATAATAATAATGCCACATATAAAGTCTTCCTATATATGAGCAATGCTATTTTAAGAAAAAGGTTCTTATAAAACCACAAAGGTATATATTTTAAAAAGTATATATGAATAATTTATTCATTTGAGTATGTCATCATTAATTCGGTTCTACTATTAAAAAAAATAATTCAAATCATATTCACTCACGTGTAAATGTTTTTTTTAATTAAAAAAAAGAAAAAAAGAGGGGTTCAAATAAAATGGATTGATTATATGTGTGTGTGAAAAAATGAATTTTAAGGTAAATTTTTCTTTTTAAAAGAAAATGCTTCTAGGGTATGAATTGAATTTGTAAGTTGACAATTAAACATATTAAAATCAATTATGTGGTTAACATATTTGTGTAGGTCGATAGCTAGTCCCTTCCAAATTATAAAACATATTAAAGTAAAACATAATTTTACTATTCATTTCGCTATTTGAAATACTATTAACACGCTCATAAACCACTATTCACATACTCACAAATCATTATTCATTTCACTATTCATGTCTTTTTTTAACACTTTTCTTCTCAAATTTTTTAAACGTCTTTTTCAATTTCACACTTTAATTGTATTGTGATTTGGTCTCATTTTATTTTAGTATTTTCTATTAATTATTTTTATTATTTAAAATTTACTACTTTAATTTTTCATTTTTTAAATTCTCTTTTTTTTTCAATTTTAAAATTTAATTTTTTAATTATTTTTATTATTTAAAAATTTTTACTTTAATTTGTCATTTTTTTAAATTATCTTTTTTTTTTCAATTTCAAACTATAATTATATTGTGATTTATTTTAGTATTTTTTGCTAATTATTTTTATTATTTAAAATTTACTATAATTTATTTTTTTAAAATTCTCATTCAATTAATTTAAAATTATATTTACTCGATAGTTTTGATTTATTTTTCTATATATATGTATTTCAAATAATTGTTTCTCAGTTTTTTTATATTATTTAAAATTTAATACATTAATTTGTCATTTTTTTAAATTCTCACCTTTTTTTTTTTCAATTTCAAACTTTCATTATATTGTGATTTTTTTCCATTTTGTTTTAGTATTTGTTTTTAATTACTTTTATTATTTAAAATTTATTACATTAATTTATCATTTTTTAAAATTTTCATTCAATTAATTTAAAATTATATTTACTAATAATTTTGATTTATTTTTCTATATGTATGGATTTTGGAATAAATTTTTAGAAAATAATTTTTTTTCTTTTGAAAACTAGATTTAGATAATTTTTAAATTATAGTGGTGTATTAATATATATAATTTATCTAAAATATATTTTTAGATTAAAAGTGTGTTTCAAATAATTTTTTCTTGATTTCTTTTAGAAAAAATTTAAATTAATTAATTAATAGTTGAAAGTCAAATGTGAAAACTAAAAAAAAGATGGTTGCTCTGTGCGTAAGACCTATATTCAAGGACTAGCCATGCATAGGATAGAAATAAAAAAATATATTTAAGAATGAGGAAAAAAAGAAAAATAATTCACATGTTTTATAATTTTTTTCTTCTTTATATAATCAAAATTATTCCAAATCAAATTTGTAATAATTTTTATAGTATTTTTTGTTTTAGACTGAAAACTATAAACTTGCCTAATATAGTTAAGATGTATAAAAAAATATTAAATCATTATTTTTTTAGAAATCAACTATGCAACTACTATTACACTAAGCATTTACTATTTATTTGTTTGTTTTTGAATATTTTAAAATCAACTTATTTTAAATTAAATAATTAAAATAATATTTTGGCTTAACCACTCAATGATTCAAATTAATGTAGTTTTTTATGTTAATATTATTCATTCTTTTGTAAATAAATATTTAAAAATTAAATTCACATTTTTTCAAAACCGATATTCTCATGAACATTAAATAAAAAAATTATTTATTCAATTCTATGTAAGCTTTTAATAATTGTTATTTATGTTTTTCGACACAATCTTATGAAATACTAAAGCTTTTTTAAAAAAGTTTATTTAATTTTCTTTTTTTCTTTTTAGTTAATAATCCATGGATTAACAAGGATGAATCCTTTTTCTAAAGAAAAATTATGAAATACACAAATAAGAAATAGTTAAATATAAAATTTTTTATATCTTTGATTTCGTATATTTTTATAAATTCATACCATAAAACGGACTATCAAACCGAAATGATTTTTCTAAAAACTTTTATTTGCGGATAAAAAACTAGTATGTTACTAATAAATTTATTAGTAATTTGCTATAGAACGGAAAGAGAAAAAAAAAGAAAAAAAAAAGGAGCTATTTCTAGCCATTGTTTCATAACCCTTTTGTCTTGTGTTATGGTTACGCAGGAGAGAACACTTGATGAGAACAAAAAATTGGTGGGCGGGATTATGAAGCGAGATCGGAGGTGGCAAAAAAAAGATGGAAGCTCGCTGGTTTGGACTACGAGTGCCTTGAATTCGGAAGAACTCTAATGATTTTTCTCCTTTTTAATACTCAACCAAGTACAAAAGGTAAATGGAGAAAAAACCAGGAGAAGGAAATTAGCATGCTATGTTGTTTGTGGACGATGATGAGATAAAAGAATCGATAATGGAGAAGATTTTTTCTGTTTAAGCAATAAAGATAGTACAAATTGTTTTTCGAGTTGGTTTGTATACCTATAATTATAAAAATATATAAGGGCAATGTAGTCATATTTGAAAATTTTAAAATCTTTCAACCGAGCATGTTAATAAAAAAGTAATAAGTTAAAAATTTTAACTTATCTAATTAAGTAGATTTTGACTGAACTTAAAATTTTAATATGAGATTCTTTAGGTTATCAAACAAACTTTTTATATTAAGTACTCGCAACTTAATTTTTTAAGCTACTTAATTAGGTTATCAAACACCCTCTAAGTTTAATTCAAGATTTTATAACTAAAAATAATTTTTTAATTCTTTTTCAAATTTTAAAATGATATAATAATTTATGAAGAAAGCTCCTTACAATAAAAAATGAAAAAATGTAATTTGGTATTCATTCACATAATCTATTAATGAAAAAATTGACAAAAGTACTTGATTGTTAGTTTTGAAAAAGTTGATGTACTCATTTTGAAAAAAATTAAAGTTCACATACTCAATTGAGAAAAAAAAAGCAAAATTATAATTTTGTATTTTAAGGATAACAAA